TCATGGCCATTTGGATATGATATTTAGCAGATATTTTCTCAAAAAACAGATCAAGTGAAGTCTGTCCCTTCAAGAGAAACAGACAGTTGTTGTCATGGATACAACCTGAGCTTTGAAACAAAAACTAGGATTTGGGAAGCGTCTTTATTTGCCATCATGAACTTTGAAATACTTGTATTAGTTACTTCTGTGTACCTATAAACAAATACCTGAAAGAAACAACTTTCAGGAGGAAGAACTTATCTGACTCAGGTTTCAGAAAGTTCAGCCTGTGGCCTCTTGGCCCTGTGCACTTGGGCAGAATGTTCTGGCAATGAGAATGTGTGATGGAGAACTGCTCACTTACTGGAAGACAGGCAGGAGAGAGGGAGATAGAGTGAGTGTGTTGAGTCAGGGACAAGACACTCTAGAGACAAGCTAGATCCTATCTTCTAAAGTTTCCAGAACCTGTCAAAATTGAACTAGGAGCAAGGATCCATTTATTCAACTATAACATGTTTTCCAGTGATGATATTAATGAATCTAGGTTTTTTGTTTTTTTTGGGGGGGTCCAGTCGTGGGGCCTGAACTCTGGGCCTGGGCGCTGTCCCTCAGCTCTTCAGCTCAAGGCTAGCGCTCTACCACTTGGGCTACAACGCCACTTCCGGCTTTTTTCTGTTTGCTTATGTGGTGCTAAGGAATCGAACCCAGGGCCTCGAGCATGCAAGGCAAGCGCTTTACCACTGAGCCACCTTCCCAGCCCCTGAATCTAGGTTTTTTTAAATGGTAAGTATGTTCAATATTTGGAAGATCCTTAGAACTAATAAGCCAGAATTTTCCAAGTGACTAGTTCATGGCATTACAAAAACCACACATGGATAAAAAGAGCCATTGGAGAATGACACAGAGATTTTGGTGTGAATTTGGAGATCCATATGGAAATCTCATCAATACGGTCTCAGGTTCCACACTGTAACTAACTTACAAAATGACTAATCGGACAAATTTGATGTAGCATCAGGAAAGAATAGAATAGAAAAGAATAGCCCTTATTTTCTGAGCATGTAAAGGCTCCTTCTTTTTCCCAACTGTGTATCTGTGTGAAGCTGGGTGATCATAGGATTAAAAACAGCATTTGGCCACAGACTGAGCCTGGATACAAACCTGCTTCTATCAATGCAGACATTTAAAAAATCTGCAAAACTACTTTTTTAGAAGGCTCCTCTTCTCCCTGCTCTTTTTCTTAGAAAAAAAATGTAATTTTTTCACAAAAATGTTATTAATGTGAATAAGTAATGAGTTTTTGTTTTTTGAAGTTACACACACACACACAGACACATTTATTTATTTTATTTTATTTGCTGGTCATGGGACCTGAACTCTGGGGTTGGGCACTGTCCCTCGCAGTTCAGCTCAAGACAAGCGTTCTACCACTTGAGCCACAATGCCACTTCCAGCTTTTTCTGCTTATGTGGTTCTGAAGAATCGAACTCAGGGCCTCATGCATGCAAGGCAAGCACTCTACCACTGAGCCAACTTCCCAGCCCCTATATATATTTTTTTTAATGTTTAAACATTTCTCAGATTTCGTTTCAAATATAGTCATATTGATATGTCTACCCCATACTGACACAGCTCTTTGGAGTCTTCGATAATGTTTTGATATCTAAATAGAAAATATATACACATATATGCATATTGTATATAATACGTGGATGTGTGTACAGGTATGTGCATGCCTGCATATATGTATATGTGTATATACACATATAAAATGTAGGGACAGGAGTTGGTATTTTGGCTGAGAAGCTGCAGGGAAAGAAGCTGTGAAATAAGCATTCCTCATACCCTCTGCCACACTTTCCCAACTGGGGAATTGCAACAATGTGGTTGTCACAAGACAGTCCTTGTGAGTCATCCATATTAAGTAATTGTTTTCAATCCTTACTGACTTTCTTTCATCCTGCCTCTTTTTACTGTCATTTTATTTTTTGTGCCAGTATTGGGGCTTGAACTCAGAAGCTGGGCACTGTGCCTTAGCTTTTTTGCTCAAGGCTACTAGCACTTGTACTTGAGCCACAGTTCTACTTCTGGCTTTCTGCCAGTTAATTGGAGACAAAAGTCTTGCAGACTTTCCTGCTAGCTTTGAACTGAGATCCTCAGGATCTTTGCCTCCTGAGAAGTGAGGATGACAGGCATAAAACACCAGCACCCAACTCTCTTGTGCCTTTGTGTAAACCATAATTTGGCAGAGGCTGGATGTTTGAGCCACAGAACCATGCCCTAGAAAGCTGTAGTGATCTGAAGTCATTGGTGAAGTGAGCAAGAGCAATGGACAGTCCTGTCCAGCCTTCAGTCCTCATTGACCCTGGACTGTTTTCTGTGATATGAGCCCCTGGTTTTCCATACTTACCACTTGGCCATGTGCAGCCAGGTTTCCTTGCACCCTGCTACTGCCCTGGTAGTTCAGGGCAGCAGCCAGCCAGAGAACCTGAGAAAGAGGAAATACTTAGCAGTCTCATCTAGTGGATTGTTGCTCTGATATTGGGGGTGGGGGATAATCATTTCTCTGCTTTTCCCTACATAATAATCATTGTGCTCACCATGGTCTCATATCCATGAGAGATGGAAAAGTTGGCCTTATTAATCAAGTTCTCTGAAGAAAGAGTTGAATATTGAGAGTTTATTAAAGCATCCATTTTATCAGGGATGGCTTTCCAAATTTTGTTCATTTCTCTTATTAACAGAAATAATACGTGATTGATTTTTTAAAATTAAGCGTGAAAAGATTCTCTGTTTATGAGAAAATTAGAAGCAATAACAAACCCAGCAACAAAGTATTCACTATTACAAGTTTGATAATCATCCACATCTTTCCAGAGCTCTATCAAGAGCAGAGCTGTAAGCTCAAGTTACAGTGTGAAAGTCACAAGTGAAAATGGCTTCTCGTTATTATCTCTAAATCCGCTGAATTAAAAATGTTCTTGTTAACACCAAAGAAAAAAACCCCTAAATTTCAAGGATTCCTGGCCAGCATCCCTCCCTACCCCACCAGAATATTTGGAGCAGGGAAAGAATCGATACCATCTGGTCATTGTGGCCTCTGTCCCCACCATAGCTTCTGAGATAACTACTCATTGTCTTCCTCCTTCCATTCCACTCCTGGATTCTTAAGGCTGCTCATCCCTGGGACTGGAGGTATGCATGGCTCAAGTGGTAGAGCATTTGCTTAATAAGCATGGGGTCCTGAGTTCAATCCTTAGCACCATCTCCTTAAAAAAAATCAGAGAGGAAAAAATAATACCAAAGATATTATCCCACCCTTTCCTCTACTCCATAGATCTAAGTCTTTATAAGTCCAACTTCTTTCCCATACACATTTCCATTCCTCCCCATTCCTGTCCATCCAGTCTCAGAAGAAATATTGGTAAGCTTCATATTTCCTTCCCTAGTTTGGATTTTTCTAGATTCCCATACAAAAAGCTATCTCCTCTGCTTCTAGGAGGTTATTTTCCAAAGGAGCTGAGTCTTTGTGTCTGGGTAACAGCTAAGGGTCATTCTTGACCCTGCTTTCTTTTGGAGATTCCAGATGGTCTCATTCTAATCCAGCCAGCCAGGACTAAGAGATGCACCTATCATTCAATGAAAAAAAAATGTGGGAATTCCTTCTCTTTACGTCCTACAAGTTCTCCTGTATCTGCCCTTCCTCTCTGGTGTGTTCTCTCCTTTCTTTACACGGAAGTCACGCTAGCTACCACTCTGTTTCTCAGCCCTGCCATTTCCTCCCCTCCTCCAGGGTCACCCCCAAAGAGATTCCTCTTCCTCTTCCTCCTTCTCCTCCTTCCTCTTCTTCCTCTGCCTCTTCCTTCTTCTTACTGTGAGACAGGGTCTTGCGATGTAGTCCAGGACGGCATCAAATTCACAGTCTTCCTGCCTTTGCCTCCCAAGTGCTAAGATTAGGGGTAGACACTACCAAGCCCATGTCCCAGGTATTTTTCTTCAAAGGGGTTGTCGTTGACCACAGTAAGGGAGGCGACCTCCCTATGTCCCCTCTCCACCATCACCTTCCGTTTCTTTCATAGCATTTACCAAATGACCTCGCTTTGATATCTCTGCTAATTTACCTGCTAAGGTAAAGGAACAAGAAGTTCATGAGGTCTCAAGGCAGCCAGCCATTTTCACTCTGCATTCCCAGCTTTCGAAGAGCATGGGCACACCATGGGTACCCAGCATATACCTGTGCATCTGTGAGTGTGTGAGAGAGTATCGAGTGAGTGTTAGATGAATCCTTTCCATTCATGTCTATTCTAAAGACAAGAAAGCTCTTCTTTTGTCTGAAGAGAAAGGCCTTCATCCTTTTCATCCTTGTCTGAACACCTTCTGAGATTCACACACACACAATAACCACAACAACAACTCCAAAGGCTGTGAAAACCAATAAACAATGAAAGGAAGTTCCTTCCAATACAGACAACTTCTATTTTTTATTTTGATTCTTTTTTTAAAATCCTTAAGGAGTGAAGGGTAGGAGGCTGCATGTCAGGTGGAAGGCAGTGGAAACAGAAGGAAAAAATGAGTTCACTTCTGGGAAGGGTGTCCGCGTGTCTAGAGGAAAGGGTATCATTACCCATGGCTCCCCTCTAGCCCTGCTGGTGTTGGGGTGGAAAGCTGCCTGTCTTTCACACACCGGGGCTGGCATCGGCCCAATTAGCAGGGCCAGCCTGGTTTGCTGCTCCTGGACTCTTGTCTAAACAGGACCTGGCCTTCAGGCAACCACAGGGCGGGGGTGTCTGCTGTGAATGGCAGCCCAATCCCTCCAGGCCAACGATGGGGTGGGGGGAGGACCCTACTTCTTCTTAAACTCCAGCAATTCAAGCCAGGGCTAGAAAGCCAGACAGACAGCCGCCCCTCCGGATCTCCACCTGTCTTTTCCAGAGCTGAGAACAGGAGCCCAGCCTGCTGCTGCAAGAGCCCACAGACCGGCCCCAGAGCCACATCTGCCTCTGCACCCGCCTGCCAGCATGGCCAGCCAGCTGAGTGAGGAGCAGATCGCCGAGTTCAAGGAAGCCTTCTCCCTGTTTGACAAGGACGGAGACGGCTGCATCACCACCAAGGAGCTAGGCACCGTCATGAGGTCCTTGGGCCAGAACCCCACCGAGGCTGAGCTGCAGGGCATGGTGAAGGAGATTGATCGTGATGGGAATGGCACAGTGGACTTCCCCGAGTTCTTGAGCATGATGGCCAGGAAGATGAAGGACACAGACAGCGAGGAGGAGATCCGGGAGGCCTTCCGTGTGTTCGACAAGGATGGCAATGGCTATGTCAGTGCTGCAGAGCTGAGGCATGTGATGACCAGGCTGGGGGAGAAGCTGAGCGACGAGGAGGTGGAGGAGATGATTCGAGCTGCAGACGCCGATGGAGATGGGCAAGTGAACTACGAGGAGTTTGTGCGGATGTTGGTGTCCAAGTGAGGTGGCTGAAGGGGCCCAGGGAGTCTCCTGGGACTGCTGGCCTGGCCCGCAGTCCTCGTTTCTCTCTCTCCATCCCTCACCTTCCTCGGGGGCACTGTTGCTTCTCAGACCAAGTGGACTGGATCACCTTTCCTGCAATTCTATTCTTCTGCCTCTCCTTTTCGGCCAACAACCCACCAGCATGACACTGAGTGAGCAAATCTCAGCTGCTCAGACTGAGCAAACTATGTAAACGTGTCTGAAAGCTCAGGAGCACCAGCAGAAGGGTGGCTTGCTTCTGCCTGGACAGAGAGCCTGAGGAACTCCAGAAGTTTTGCCGACGCTGCCACCTGCGAATGGTCCCTTTGATGATCCCAGACAGGATTTCTGTCTCCTGTCCCCTAGGCATCCAAGAGTGGGACCAGGATGGTCAGAGCTTGAAGTCCACACTGGAAATTCTGGAGCATTAGGGACTCACGTTAGCGGCTATTAGATTGGAAAGACATCTTGGCCTTGGAGTGGGATTTGGCAGTGGACAACTATGGTGGCTTCCCTTTCACATAGTACTGACTTGCTCTTCTCTGTGTGGGACTCATCTTTTGGAGTTGGGAGTAACCTAGGGTCTGTTGTGGCCTGTTTATATCCATCTGGAAGGAGGGAAATGTGAATGAAAGGGGGGAGGGAGGGAAGCTATAGGAAATAAATAAGATGCTCAAATGTCTATTTGGCTTCCTTTTGTCTGCTTTCAACTGAAACGATCTTAGTTAAGTCTAGGATTTAAACAAAGCAGAAGTCACCACCACTTTGTGTGTGAATGTGTGTGTGTGTGTGTGTGTGTGTGTGTGTGTGTGTGTGTGTGCATGCGCTTTTTGGATATGCAATACATTCCTATATTAATAGGTGCAGCAAGATATTTACTTTATTTAACTACATATACTTCAATACAATGGTTGAGTTGGTAGCAAAGAGCAGTTAGAAATCCATGCAGAACTCCTAAAACACTTGAGCCAGTTACAGCAGAGAAAGAGCTCTAATGACTGTTTTGTTCCTCCTGTATTTGCTCTGTCTGTGGGAAGCATTAGGCTATCACAAGGAGTAATAGAAAGGGTTCCTCTAAGCCAGATATCACATAGGCAAGTCTGAAGTGCCATAGTGAAATCTAACTATTACACATTACACACCATGTTACAAGTGACAAAGCTGAGACTCAGGGACTTAAGAAATCAGTGGCCCACAACTGAGGAGCAAATGTCAGAGCTGAGATCTGAATCCAAATCTGCTACCTAGCTGTTCCTGTCCACTTGCCTCCACAGGTGATTATAATATTTCCTTCTTCCAGCATTGGCAAGGATGAGAAATGATTTTTTTTAAGGACAAGCATTGTTGTTACTAAGGATTCCTTCCAGCACTAACCCTCACTGAGGGCTGGCTATGTATTTCCACCCCTTAAAGAGCTCGGGGAGGAGAGTAAGAAGCAGGAGGTGGCTCTTCGTGCCAGCTTGGGGGTAAGTTTCTGAGGAGGATCTCAGGCAAGAACTGGTCCCAGCGAAGGTATAATTTGAAATCTTCCTGCCAAGGGAACAGGAAGGTCTTTCAGGCATGGCTCACTGAGCTAACCCTCTTCAGAGTCAGGAGGGAGTTGAACACCTGCCAGAGGGGATTTGGGAAGGAGCCGCATAAGCACTAAGATGAAGTATCCAGAGGTCCCTGGACAGTGCTCCCTGGAGCTGAGGAGGAGCAGAAGAGCCAAGCCAGAGTTTGGAGCTGAGTCACAGAGTTACCTAGACAAAAAGAATGGAGCCTCAGCATCTTTCTCAGGGCAGTGCTTAAATCCTGCAGGAGTGAGAGGAGCAGAGGTCCCCCACTGGTTTTCTATTCACTGTTCAGGATCTGGAGGGAGGGTTGTTACTGAATCCCAGCCTTTGAAGTTGCAGGCTGAAGGAAGCCCTTGTAAAAGCTCAGAGTTGTTCATATTGCCAGTGTTTGGCTAGGAGGGGACGGAGATGTCTCCTTGTGCTTCCCTCCCCATATTCCAGCAATTCTGCTGAAGTGGACCTTCTTTCTCTGGTCCCACATGCCACCCTGAAACCAACCACACCTGTGTTTTTCCAGTCTTAGAGCCTTTCATGCAGAACTCTTCTGCCCGCCTGAGCAGGAGCTAGCAAGCAGGTGACATGGAAAGACTCTTACTGAGAGCCAAGAGGCCTGAGCCTCCCTGAGGGCAGATTCCTTAGAAGCAAAGCCATAATAAACAGGGCCTGCTTCTTCCTGTCCTGGAACTCTGAAACGCAAGGGCCAAAGCAGGCCTCTTGTCCCTCCCCTTGGCATTTACTTTCTTAAACATGGATTATTTATTTTTTTTAATGTCTTGCACTATCCTTTCTGAGGGGCCATTTAGCTGAGGTGAATACCTCCTTCTTTGGGCACATGATTTGGCCCTTTCTCAAGCCTTTTAGGTTTGGGGCAAGAGATGCCAGGCTCCAAAGACACATAGTGGTACTGCTGCTTTATGATTCCATCCCCCACTATGAAGTTGGATTGTTCTGGAAGGTCAGAGGAGGGAAGCTGCACTGGCCAGTGGGTCCCAAACCCATAGGCATTGATTCCTCTGACTCAGTTTACTTAAGGCAGTGTGTCTCAGAACACGAAGTCTCAGGATCCAATGCTACCTGTCTTATCTTCCCCTTCTTCCCCCAACCTTATTTTTCCATCCCTCTTCCCACCCTGGCGACACTACAAAAGAACCTGTCATGTCCCCAGAACACCAAGAACAGGTATTTTTACTTGTAACATGTAGTCACCATAATTGGCAGTGTTGAGAGGCAGTATTGGTTTTGATTTGTTTTTGTGCAGGTGCTTGAGCTTGAACTCAGGGCCTGAATGCTCACTGTTCCTCAGCATCTTTTTTTTTTCTTTTTGCTCAAGGCCAGCACTCTACCCCTTGAGCCATGGGTCCACTTCTGGCTTTTTGAGGGTTAATTGGAGATAAGTATCTCATTGACTTTCCTGCCTGGGCTTAGCATTGATTCAAGATCCTCAGATCTCAGTCTCTGAGTAGCTAAAGATTACAGACATGGGCCATGGGTACCTGGCTTGGAGTGGATTTTTCTCTAGGGAGCCAGAGAGGGCTAGAACAGCAGAGAGAAACTACCAAACAGTCATCCAAGTGCAGATTGCAAGAGACTAACCAGCGCTGTGTTTTGTGACAGAGACAGGTTGGGGGGAGGGAGGTAATGCTAATATTTCCCTTTCTTTTTGGTCACTGAATAATTGCATTTAAACAACCTCCCTGCAGCCCCAAAAAGGTGTTATCTGCCTACAGCTCTGAAGAACATTCCATCTATCCTTGGAAGAAGGAATTTATAAATATTACTTCAGCTCTCATGTGCTTTCACTGAGCGCTCTCATAAATCAGGACCCATGGCTCCCGCACTCCCAGACTATATAAAGCATGCCTCTGACTCTAGGTTTCCAATTTTAAATCAAATACAGCCCAGCCCCACCAGCTCCTGTTTATCCTTACAGATTCCAGGGGCCTGTTCATCGCCTCCCGGAATGAGTGCATTAAAAAAATGGCCCATGGTTCCGGCTGGAGAAATGTAACAGGGAAACTTACACATGGGGTGAAAGTGTTCCATGTAGAATGAAGCAATGGGGGTTTTCTGTGTGTTACTCCACTTCTTCCCCCACCCCAAAAAAATATCAAAATAAAACAAGAAAAAACCAAAAAGTACGTCTGGGGCAAAGCACACATGTCAATCTCCCCATCATTCTGCTTTTCTGGTGGTTGTTGCTATAGCAACAGGCTCTTGGGTAGGAATCAAGACTTAGTAAGGGAGGTCAAGGTAACCAGGAGTCCCTGGAAAAAGGATCCCCAGAGCCTCTCCCACCAGATACATCTGGTTCCTGGGTAGGATAGAGCATCTTCCTCAGTGTGTAGAGAAGGAAAGACTTGAAAGAAACCCAGGAACCGTGGGGAAGAAAACCTTCTCCAGGTCTTTCCCTTCTTCCTAGAGCACTCAGAACTACCCAGGAGGAGAAAGTCACTGAGCACAGGAAAAGCTAAGCACTGGGTGGGTCCCAGTTGTCTTGCATGGCCCCAGGGACTGCTTTGCACACTTTGGGGTGGCTCACATGCAGATACCCTGGGTAGTTAACCATACACCACCCTTCCAGCCCACCTGGAATACCAAATACGATTCTGTGTGTAACCTTTGGGCCATGAGACTGTCGTCTGGAGTCTCTCACAATAAAATTGAAGTCCTCAGGCTGGGAAGGTGGCTCAGTGGTAGAGTGCTTGCCTTGCATACATGAGGCCATGGGTTGGATTCCTCAGCACCAAATAAGCAGAAAAAGCCAGAAGTGGTGCTGTGGCTCAAGTGGTAAAGTGCTAGCCTTGAGCTGAAAAGCTGAGGGACAGCGCCCAGGCCCAGAGTTCAGGCCCCACAACTGGCAAATTAAATAAAATAAAATAAAACTGGAGTCCTCACTGAAGGTTTGACAAAAAAAAAACTCCTCATCAGGCTTTATATTTGCTCATTTAATCCTCAACCCAAGTTGGTTGCTACTTAACCCATTTTACAAGATGTTGTCTGGCCATCTTCTCTGGGGCGTCATAACTATTCTGATGGCATTAGAGTAGCAACTGTGGACTTAGAAGAATCCAGATGCCAAGCCATACTTGCCAGCAAGACTGGTCAGCCAAGCTGAGCTCAGCCATTCCTGGTACTCAGTTTCTCCCTGTCCGAAGGCCCTGAGCTATTCCACCCCAAACTACAGATCTAGTTGGGGCAGGGGCAGGGGGAGGAGGAGAAAGAGTGTATTGACTCACACTGTGAAATCAGCCTGATTAGAGATCGTGAACTGTCTCCGCTAGAACACTCCCTTATCATCACAACCACAGAAGGGAGGAGGATTCAGACCAAAGCTCAAGTTAAAGGATCATTGCTTAGTAATCACTTCATGGTGATTAGATCAAGACCTTTCAACTCACAGAGCAAGATTAGGTGAAAGATGAAGAG